CCCAAATTTTTTTTTTTTTTTCTCAGTTTGCAGATTGAGAGGGAGGATGAAAGAGAGCTGAGGAAATAGAGATTTTGCAGAGATTGATTTTTTTTGGCAAAGATCTAATTTTTTGAAATCTCTATGTCCCCTAGTTTTTTGATCTCTATTCTTCAAAAAACTCACTTTAATCTCTAGTCTTCAAGAAGCTTCAAGGACAGATTTTGCAGAGATTTTGATGGGTTTGAGAGATGAAGAAGAAAATGGGTGGATTTGCAGAGAAACCCACATGAAAATTGATTTGGTGTCATCCATGGCCATGAACTTCCTGAGAACTATAAACAATAAACAACCCAACAATAGATTCAAGAAACCCAGAGAAACCCAAAGAACATTTCAACCAATCAAAACATTAAACAACCCAACTATAAACAGACCAAAACAATAAACAACCCAAATCAAGATCCACGAAGAAACCAGTAGATCAAGAACGCCAATACCCATGAAGAAGAAGAAAAAGAAGATGAGAGTGAAGAGATGGAAATCTGAAACACAACCTTTTCTTTCTCTCTCTGTCTCTATGTGTCTCTGTACTGCTTCATATGAGATCTGCAGAAATTTTGAATTAAAGCCTTCTTTCTTTTTTTTTAAATTACTAATCAAAACAATAGTTTTATTTTGAGCCTTTGATCACTCGCTTCAGGGATCACTTCAGAATCCCACTCTAGAGATCCTAATACCAAAAAAATCTGCCAAAAAATCAATATAAAAAGAAGAAGGGTAGGAAAAGCGAATTGGGATCCTCCCCTTCATTTCGGTCCTTCATTCCCTCCTTGCAGGGCCTTCGGGCCCACTTTGAAGCCCAATTTTGATAATCCGAGCCGTTCATATTTTTAGATTTATTCAGTATATCATACCTGTAAAAAATCAAGTTGATCAAATATCATAAAGTATGTGTTCGGAAAACTGTTTATTAAAAAATAGTTTGTAGTCCTAATTTTATGAACGCATACTTTCTGATATCCGATCAACTTGATTTCTTACAGGTATAATATACTGAATAAATCTAAAAATATGAACGGTTCGGATTATCAAAAACTGAGCCTCAAAATGGACCCGAAGGCCCCTGCAAGGAGGAAATGAAGGAGGGGACTCAAGGAGGGGATCTGGACTCAGGAAAAGCAGGTGTAAGTGTAGGAAAAGCAGGTGTTTCATGGGAATGGTGCAAGAACTGAAACAACGAGCGCCAATGGGAAGAAAAAAGAGAAAGGTAAAAAGATTTTTTTTTTTTTTGTCATGGTTTGATATTGGCTTTTTTAATTGATTTTTTTTAATTTAGAATTAAAAAATTTGTTTAATTTGATTTTTTTAATTTTTATGAGAGAAAAAAATAATGGTTATAATTTAAATGTGACATTTTATCTTATTGACTTATTTAACTTATTTTGTTTTTTTGAACTTTTTTAACCTAAATATAAGTTAGCCAAACAAAGGCTTGTGGGTAGGGATTGAACCTTATCGTCTTCTTGAGAAATTTAATTATTTTGTTTGATTTTGAAATTTAGAATTTATTTTTAAAAAAATTCTATATTTTTATTTTTAGTATTTTTTTATTTTTATTGAATTTTTTTAATATTTTAAATCTATTTTTTTAAATTTTTAGATGCACTTAATATAAAAATATACTTAAAAAATATAATATTTGTGATTTTTTTTTAAATCACCAATTACCAAAAATATAAACATATATATACATATAAATTCAGTATATTTTGTTGTATTTTTGTGTATTTATTAATTTTTTAAAATATTTTTTTCACAAATATTTGCTTTTTATACATATTTAAGTAAGGTGCATCTAAAAAAGTTCAAAAAAAGTGCCTCAAAATTTTAAAAATATTCACTAAAAATAAAAAATACAAAATTTAAAATTTTAATTTTTAGAAAATTAAAACCAAATACATCGAATACCATTTTTTTGGTAAAATAAATGTTAATAATTTGAACTAAAACTCATAAACTTGCCCCCAAACTCATAATAATGCCTCCCTTTAAAATAAATAAAAAAAAACATTGTTTAATTTATTTAGGATAAATTATAAATACACATTTGCTTAAAATCGGATTGTTCCTTATAATTTAAAAAATTATAAATATTTCATTATTAAAAAAATTTATTTCATAAAATTAATTAGAAAAATAAGATTTTTAATTAGTTTCTTATATAATAATAAAATTATTTAATTTAATAATTAAGTTGCTGGCTGCAGTTAACAAGTTCGATGGCCAGCCAAGGAGAGAGAGAGAGAGGGGGGCTACTATTTCTGTTGTGACAGAGTTGACAAAAAGAAGAGAGAAAAGAAAAAAAAGATAAAAGATAAAAATGAGAGAAAAAAATTATACTTTTATTAATATATTGAGAGACTTATTTATAAGCTCTTTTTTAGATACTTATGCTAAGTTAAGTCCTTCGTAATTTCTTATAGAGTCTCAAGTCCTATTAGATAAGAATGTATTTTACAAGATCCTACATAAACGTAACGTGACATGACACTTACATAAACGTAACGTAACGTGACATCTACATATACGTAACGTAACGTGACACCTATATAAACGTAACGTAACGTGACACCTACATAAACGTAACGTAACGTGTCCCGTTACGTTTCGCAAACTTATTGAGTTTTTATTTTTTTAAATTGAATGTGAAAATGTTACTGGCTTATGTTGGTGTCACGTTACGTTTGATATAAATATGATGTATGGTAACATTCAATTTCCTATCATAGATGTCATGTTACATTTATGTAGGTGTCACGTTACGTTACGTTTATGTAGATATGTCACGTTATATTTATGTAGGTGTCACGTTACCTATAGGTGTCACATTACGTTACGTTTATATAGATATGATCTATGGTAACATTCAATTTCGTATATATGGTTTTACTTTTATTTATGATATTAACAACTAATATTAAGAGTAAATATGTCAACAAACTTTCCACAAGACTTATGGGAACATAAGGCTGTGTTTGGTTGTGATTTCAAAACGTGATTCTACACCATAGTTTGAGTATGATGTTTGTTTAGTGTTTTGGAATCACGTTTCAAACACTTTGCAGAGAGCTCTGTCTCTGCTCTGTCTCAGCTACGCATTTCAGCGTTTTTTTTTTTGAAAATTTTGAAAGACGGGACGTCCGACCGGTTGACTGGAATAGTAAATTTTTTATTTTATTTATTTATTTTTTTGGATATGTTATTTTTTATATAATCGAAAAAAATATTTTTTGAAATTTTTAAAATTTTTTATGTGCTTTAAAATAATTTTGAGTTGTATGTTTAGTTATAAGTTGTAAATTTTTGTATCAAATATCAAATGTCACATTAATAATTCCCCACTCAAATCAAAACTCTTTTCAAAACTATTTTCAAAACTCTTTACCAAACAAATTTTCTACACTTAAATCATAATTCCACAACACACAAACTCAAAATACAATTCATACTCTCAAATCACATTTACAAAACTCTACCAAACGCTACCTAAGTTTTTTAGTAGGACCATATATAGTATAAGTCTCCCTAATAGGACTTATAAATAATTTTTCTTTGTATATAATACATTTATACATTACTTCACATATATTTTAACACATTTATTGTACCATTTTTTACTCTCTAAAATTAACAAATTCTCTACACATATTTTTAGTTCCTACTTTTATTATTTTTTATTCTGTAATACACTATTTTTTACCCACTCTATTGTAAATGCTCTTAAGTTATCCAGCCACCCTCATTAATACCAAGTGTCTGTCTCTCCATTCAAAAAAAAAAAAACAAAAACAAAAAGATAAAAGAGGAACGTGAGACTCAAATCTTAAATATGAAGAATGCCCATGCTATTTGAGTAGTATATAATATATAATAAATATTTTATTTTATTTTTGTTTATTTAAATTGTATACATATTACATATGTCAACAATATACAAATTCATTTAGGAGGGCTTATATGCCCAATTTACTTTTATAGGAAAAATTTTAGTGGTTTGCCATGCTCAGTTTTATAAATATAAAAAAAAGGTCATTATTTGAAAATAGACTACTTTAATAATTTTTAAATTTTTTACGCAAAGATCTACAAAAAAGTAAAGAGAATGATATGACAATTTATATTAATTTTTTATCTAAAATATATAGTTGACAAACAGGACCCAAATAAAAATCAACTTAAACCACTTAAAAAAATATTTTAAAAGTTCAAAATATATCAAATGAACTTATTATTTTTTAATAAGTATTATTTCTCATTTATAATATATATATATATATATATATTTGGGGATGGTGCTAGTTAGATCATCTCTAATGATTCATCAAATTTAAATTTTATAAAAAAAATTACTTTTTGCGCCTTCAATGGTTCATCAAATCCATCATCAAATTCAAAATTTCACTTTTCTTTTATCAAATTAAGAATTAATGTGTCTTTAATCAAATTACTATTCATTATCATTAGATTTTCATCACTAGATATTCCTGAGTGACCACCTCAAAGCAAAAATTTATAAAAAAATTACAACACATTATCCGGTAATTTAATGAAATTACAAAATCTTTCATTGGGATACTTAATATCAAAAAGAACTTTTACTTAAATTTTTATCCAAACTTAATAAAAAAAATTGATACATAATTAGAAATGTCGTTATGGATAGATAACATATCTCTTTCCTCTTTTACCATTACAACAATGCTTGATAATTTAAATTTTTATAATTCAAATGATTCCAATGCCTCAAAATAATATTATTTTAAGAATAAAATAATAACTTTTTGATATATTTGAGTCACATAAATTCGAGTTAGGGATTTTTCTTACCCTTAATAGGAAGGTGGCGACAGGTGGCATGATGGGTATTGGGGGAACAAAGGAAATAAAAGTAACTGGATAATAACGAATCTTCTTAATCCATTCGGAATATATATCCACCTGTATATGCAATGCTTTACCCTTATCTTTCTTTCTCCGCTTTTCCTTCCTATCCTCCCACTTCTTCCTCCTCATCATCTCAGTCTCATATTTCAAAATTATATATATGTACTATTACCTATTCCATACCAGTACAATATACACCTTGGACTCAGAGAAAACAAAGCTATCAGAATCAGTTATATTTTGAAGCTGAATTATATATAACAAGACACAAGACTGAAGAAAGTGTTTGGATGATGAGAATGGGATCTAATTCTCTCAAACAAGGAAGAAACCATGATGGGATCATATATGAGGAGGAGGAGGAGATAGAAGCTGATCATGTTGGAATTGATTCATCTCCTTCTCTTTCTGAGGTTTCTTGTAGTGTTGAATCTTTGCAGTCAGGTTTAATGGAGGATGATGAGGCAACTTCTTCTTCTTCTTCTTCTTCTTTGGCTGGTGGTCCATTGCATGACATGTCTTCTCTCATGCAACATTTACCCTTGAAGTATGCTTTTCTTTTTCCTTTACTTTCTGTTCTTTTGGTACAAGAAAAGTTTTAGCAAAATTCCATGAATATTAATGACATATTAACAATTTTTTAAAGATTTTTCAGAGGTAGTTTCTTGTGATTTTTTCATTTTCAATCAAAACACTTACTATTGTAATTTGTGTTTCTGAAATGTCACTAACACACCATTTGAATTTGTTTTTAATATAAATTTTTTGTTTGTAAATTATTTTCTATAGATTTTTTATATAGATTTAAATTTTATGTTTGCTAATTTTAGATACCCAAAAAATATATATTTAAATTTTTATCTAAAAAACCAAGTATAATTCAGATTAAATTATTATGTGGTGGGTTTCATAGAATTAAACTAGATCATAAATTATTATTTTGAATTAAGTTCTCAGTTTTTTTTTTTTTTTTTCTGATGAATCCCCAAATTATTTTGCAAGTGCTGTGTAAACATGAGAAATCTACATATAATTGATGGAATCATTTTTTTTTTCTTTCTGGATTTGTAGGAGAGGGCTGTCAAATTATTTTCAAGGGAAGTCACAGTCATTCACTTCTCTATCAAATGTGAGGTGCTTGGAAGACCTTGTCAAACCAGATAACCCTAATAATAAGAAGTTGAAATCATGCCAAAGCTATGGAGGATTATCATCAGATCAATCTCATCAGAGCCACAGATCATCAGCACCATCATCATCATCATCAAACCACTTTCCAAGAACTATCACTGCTTCCTCCTCCTCCTCCTCCTCATCAAGGTTCATATCAAGAAAGGCAATGCCTAGGGGATCATGTTCTTCACTTAGTGCAAAGAGGACTGCTAGCTTCCTTGCCAACAGACCCCCCATTCCCCCTCCCCATCCTCATCCTCATCCTCACGGATCTACTGGCACAAGTAGCTTTTCTAATCAGACCCCTTTGTTTGCTTGATGTCATTTGGGAATTTGATCTGTAATCTCTTATCTATAGGCAGTACTATATGTAAGAATCATGCTATTTGATCTGTAATCTCTTATCTATAGGTAGTACTATATGTAAGAATCATGCTATTTGATCTGTAATCTCTTATCTATAGGCAGTACTGTATGTAAGAATCATGCTATTCAACAGATTATTTCCAACATTTCGCAATGGCGGATTATTGTAGGAGAGGGAAATACCTTGCGATAGTAAAAAGATATAAAAAATAATCCAAGGGGTTGTGGCATTGTGATAAGGTCTTGGGGTTTAAATTCTAAGGTCACAAGTTCAATTTTCTTCTTGGGCTAATCTCTTGGGCGAAGCACTGTTGGTTAGGAGGTTAGACCTCAAGAATGCCTAATCAGCTACTTGGTGTGGGTTTAATGCTCCCTCACTGTGCGAGTCATGACTTAATCGAAACTTGCCTTGGGAGGTCGGGACAAGCATTCAGGTTATAGTCTCTTCTCTTATTCGGAACGGACAACAAGATACCCTAGTGATCTCCTCATGGGGCGCTGTCTTGGACCTGCGGGAGGGTGAGAAGATTTCCCTGTAACAAAAAAAATATATATATATATATAATTATATAAAAATAAGATTTATTACAATAATATGATGAGTGTCACATTAATTATAATTTATTTTTTTAATAATTTTTTTGTTAATTTGTAGGGTATTATCTTATTCAAGGTTGTAGTAAAATTACTTGTGTTTGTTAATTTTTTCAATTTCTCTGTTATTAACTTTTTAGGTAGTATTTGGTTTGTTCGAATAATTTTGAGTAAGATTGGAACAATTATTTCTTAATCTCTCAATGAAATAATTATTTTTTAAAATTGATGAATGATAATTCTATTTAAAATATTTATATCTTTTATTAACCTCAAGGGTTAGTTTCATGGGTATAACTTGGGTTTGGAGTGTGATCTTTTCAAATTTCAGATTCAATACTTATTAATTCATATAGGTGATAGAATTGTTTTTCGAGATTAATAAATTAATTCATACACATGATTATCAATTGTGAGGACATATTTTGTGAATGACTGCACGTGGCCGAGGTGACGCCAACATGTCAACCAGAGTGCCACGTAGGTTGGTCATGTGCGAGTTGGTTTCGGCTAGGCTGAAGTTATCTTTGGAGATAACGGAATCTGAGGTGAACGGATAAGGGACCTAGAATAGGGGAAGACCTCAGTCTGGATAAAGATAAAACTCTTAGGAAGTTTATCTCTATTTAGCTGGGAGTCCAAGATAAGCATTGAGCCAAAGTTCATTAAAGCTAGGCTTCTAAAGGGATCAAGTTAGTGCTGACTATAAAAGTAAAGCACTCTCGTGGGTCTAAGGTATATTTTTTATACTATGTCTAGTGAGTTAAGCGTTATTGACTATCTTTGAGAGATAATTACTGACTTGATCGTCGAAGTGTCCTCGGGTGGACGAACCATCGCTAGATTCTTATCTTTCTGTGACAAGTTGTTCGGGCTTAATTTATTATATCTGTGCTCTCCTGCTGAGTTTTCCCATTTAGTTGTGCAGTCAAAAATCAGGACCCACAATTTGGGGTCGTCTATAGGAACGTAAGGAGAATAGATGGCCAATGACGTACAGAAAGAAAAGGTCGGGGATGATATCCCTAGTGGGAGTAGCAAGAACGCCGATCCTAATGTGGAGGAGGAGAACAATAACGAAGGACCTCGAGATCAGAATCCCGAGGAAAAGGGCAGCGGCCAAGAAGGAGACGCACCGAAGAAAGCAAGTCAGGGTGGGTATTACAACGAAGCGACCTCCAGGTATGGAAAGATAGGTGCCTGAGGAGGGACGGCCAGATGAAGGGAATGACAAACAAATTGGCAAACCTACAATCGGTTGTTAACTTCATAATGCAGAACAACATCATGCAACCACCGTATCCATTGAAGGACACGCCGATTCCAGCGGCCAAGAACGAAGCCCAAAAAGGGGGGCAAAAAGCAATCCCAACAGCCCCTCAGCATTACAAAGTAAAGGAACGCTCACATTAGCCTTCACGAGATGCCAAGTGAGCAGAATCAATGAGAGGAGAGTCTCAGAGGACGTCTCGTACCAAAGAAACTTATGCCAAGGAACCTCAGTATGTTCAAGGGAAGGAATTTTGTTTTGACACGGTGAATGGAGAGAAATCCAAAAGGACACATAACGATATCGGGAGCAGTGCACCAAAAAGGCTAAAGTCCGTGGACAGCCGAGCTCCTGGTTGGACTAAAGAGGATCTAAGGGACTACCTTCAGAGGAAGAGGCAGAATGCTGAGGTCACATCCCTGTAGACGCGCCTGCGTGAGGCCTTCGCGCTACAGTTCAGACTCAATTTGTGTCACGATTCTTAATCTGAACCAAAGAGTCCAAATCTGGCAAATCGTTTTGATAAACAGATTTTTTGAAAAAGAAGTGCCAAACATGGACTGCTTTGCCAAATACAGAGTCGCCACCTAAATATTTTATTATGGGGGAATTTAGGAAACCCTGACTCGGTGCCAAAGGCCACGTGTCCGTCATCACCAAAGTTGCCTCGGCTCGGGAGCTTGGGTACGATTGGGGAAGGTCAGCTATGAGCACCCCCTCTCTCCCGATCCGAAGATCGGCCTCTACTAACCGTGATATCCATTTTTGAAAACGTTATGCGTTCTTATTCCGGTTATTAGCCTAAATTTACGATGTTATGCGCACAGCAAACAAGTATAGACCAAATTGCCTAAATTGGAATAAAACATTTCATATCCGTTTGTTTGAAAAACAGTTTGAAATTTGCTACTCGCAAGTAGGCTAAAGCACGGATTTTAACGAGTTGTTCCAACTCAAACAATCTAACCTTCACCCACAGGTATTCAAGCAGTTTAATATCACATAAGCATCTAGCCACATGGTAGGCATGCTGTCATGGCAAACATTCACACTCATGCAAGATGCTAAAGCATAAAAGCTTGCATCGTACTCCGTGCCAAAACAAAGAACTCGTTAGCAATCAATGCATGATCCAAGTCCATGTTTAAATGCCTAATGCAACGCATACGGAATGTCACTAGAGTAGGCTCGGCTAGTCTATGAATGACATGTGAAAATGCACAGGAAGCATGTATTCAAGTTAGATTTGAAATACTTTATGCGTTGCATGATGCCAGAGGCCCGGGCATGCAAGACTAATGAATGATGCATGCATGCATAGCATAAGGTATGCTAAAGTAACATCCTATACTAACCATCAAAGCAGGTAAGTAAAAGGGAGAAGAAGTGGGGGTTGGAAGACACGTAACACATCACCACACTTATTACAAATTCGCCCTCGCTCGGAGGACCGAAAGAATAATACAAATTAACTAACGCGCAAGCTAATTAATTTATTACAATCACTAATTAATAACAAATAACTAAAGCTAAGAAAAAGCAATATTAAAAAAAAAGGGGCTCGGAAGAGGGTCCAATGCACTCATGCTCGATCTTGCTCGGCAGTCCAGTGCCATGCAAGCCTCTGTTTTCCCTGCTCTGCTTCTCTACAAGACTGTAAATCTAAGGATGTGGCTCACTGGATGTTGGAATGCCACCGGCTGAGAGGGAACATCATCGGCTTGATTTGGTTGTCGAATCGCCAAATGAATCCATCGGCCACGATGGATTGCCGTCGGCACTCTGTGCAGTTATCGGCAAATAGTTCCTGCAGAATCTTTTGACACAGTAGAGGACAGAGCTTTGCTGCAGATGCAATTCAGCAATGATGCACCAACCATATCCCTAATTCATGTTTAATGGACTCAAAGGGCATGGTCATGTGGCTCTCGACCATAACGCGCATTTCAGATGCTGATGGCCCAAGAACCAAGTTATGCATGTTGATTTCAAATGTAACGCAAACCACAAACAAAGGCCGCAACTCCCCATCACTAAATGCAAGGAACAAACGATGCATCTAGATGGAGTGCAACCTAGGCATGTGAACTTGCATGCAACATGGATACAATGCCATTATGCAAGTATGCAGCAAACATGCAAGGTAAGCATGCAAACAAGCAAAGAGAACTTAAGCTCGTTTGGGCAGCCCTTAATGAAGCCAAAAACAGTGGCATCAACCAAGGAGAGAGGCCAAATGCACATGCAAGCATACATGACAACATGGACCACATTTAAGCACATAAAGGCAACTTTTAAAGCGCACTTTAAAGAGGCATAGCTGGACAATTAACATGTGCAAATGAAGGCTCTGAAAACGATCTATAGGAGGTGCCAAACCAACTAGACAAAGCAAGCATATCATGCAACCAAGCCCAACGCCTAAGGCTCACCAAGAGGCGTTGGACTAACCTATCAAGACCAACATGCGATGATTTAAGCAATCATAAAATCAGGTTTTAGCATTCAAAATGAACCTCAAAAACCTTAGATGACATCTAAGATGACTTACACTGGTAAGCATGCACAAATGCATTTCAAGGAGCATGAAACCACAAATCTTGAAACATCAAAGGAGCCATGAAATGTAATCTAACGCAAGCATGCTAAGAGATCTAAAATGAATGAAAATAGTCCCACTCACAAATCAAAGCAAGTAATTGCATCTGCTATACACTCAAACATACTTGAAGCCTACAGCTTAATGTTCAAAAGGGCTTGTATGCATGTAAGTCACCCAAACAACTAAAGGATAGACCTTAAAACATGCAAAATTAAACATGAAGCTTCATAAAGCCAGCCTAAAAGATGCTAGAAAGAATGGGTTTACAACCTAAGGCCATGTTAAGGCAACAAATCATGGCATGCATATATGGTAGGTATGCTAAGCAAGCATGGTGTACCAAAACCAACTTAAAATAATGCTATATCATGGCATAATAAGCATAAAAAACAGCCAAGGCATGGTCAACATGAGCCTAAGCTAGGTGCTCTCTCAAGAGGCAAAAAATGATCCTTTTCAAGGACAACAATGAGAGGGGGTGGCCCTCTCCTTCTTGGGACCTCAAGACATCATCCTCACCTTTGAAATCCCTCAAGATTTCAGTGGTGAGGAGGCCCAAACATCAAGGTCTCAGAGCTCACCCAAAATGGCACAAAATGGAGCCTTACAAGGCTTAAGAGGGGTCAAACAACCCCAAAGCTTGAAGCAACCTTAAACAACTATTTAGAGGGCCTAAAAACAGAACTTTTTTATGTTATACACTAAGCTCAAAAACAGATGCAAGATAGGCTAAAAAGCTATGCAAAAATGAGGTAAAAATGGGC